TAGGTGATGGTCTGTAGTAGTTGGCAGGATGAGGATGTATGTATGAACTCGAGATCAAAAAAGATGAAAGCGTTAATTTTATTTTTTAAAAAGTAGTGTTTGAAAAGTAGATTGATAACCGGCAGAATATTCCTTTAAAAGGATATCATAGAATCTGTATAGTGTGGAAGCAGGCCATTTGGCCCATCACGTCCACACTGACCCTGTGAAGAGCATCCCACCCCATCCCTGTAACCCTGCACTTCCTCAGCTAACCACTGAGCTACCATGCTGCCCATATCGGATTGTTATAATAAATAACTTGCAAAACTGGAAAAGGGGCCTATATAGACTTGGTTGGTTGAATGGCCTGATTTTATGCTGTTACTTTGACCTATTCGACATTTTGCACTTCTAATGCAATTTTAGAAAATGTGATTTAAGAAGTAACATTTTGTTTGCTGCTGAGTTTCCCTGAGATTCTGTAAGCAAGTATAATTTGACTTTGGTAATAGTGGACCTCAAGAACAATTATCCCTAACAATGCTAATGAAGCGTATGAATAGGCTGCTATCATAGTTCCTCTGATTTTTCTGGCATGCTAATAGTCTGTGGGGTTTAGATTGATTTCGTAATTAAGATGTAAAATTATACAGATTCAAAAAGACGAATACTTAACTAAGATGGCTCTTATCAGTTGACTTGCAATTGGTGTGAATCTTGAAGCCTAAAAATCCCATTTTATGACCATTACTTTTGTTACTTATGTGTGCTTTTATGTACTGTAGGATTCCTAGTTACAGCTTAAGGGGTTACGACTGACTGATATGCCGATGAAACACTCTGCATTACTTCCGGTGAAGATGTAATGTCACATGATCTTGATCTCTGCCACCAAATTTGTAAATGAACATGTTGCTTTTGTAAAGTTAATAGTGCTCCTTCATACCTCCATAGACTCTGTACATACTCTTAATTTTGCATGGCTAAATAGTATAAGACTAGCCTCCATCTGAAGCTGAAACTGAACTGATCAATCACGTGAGTTTCTGAGCTAGTTGACTCCATTATGGCCTTAAGCCTGTCAATGTGCAAACACAAAATTGGGAGGCATCTTGTTCAGGACTGGCTATCCGAGTAATGCTTTAATGAATAGGAATTGAATTACATGGGAGGACAATTTTTCTCTGATTCTGCCACTGTGGCATCATACAATAGAATAATTATATGAATTTGAAGGTGCTAAAGACAGATGTCACCCTGTAGTTATTTTGCCCATGGCAATCATTTTGGGAGTTGTAGCCTTTGGGATTGTTACATCTTATTTAATTGTACAGTGTTATTGATTGATTTTTGGTGCTTTTGTACACCTCAGCTGTTTAAGTGTAAATGCAACCTGCCTCCCCTACTTGGGCCACTAAACCTGCACTGAGAGCTTTATACTGATTGGGCAGATCACCCAGTAAGTAAATGTGAATGTTGGTAACCTTGTATTCCAGTGTGCACTCCTCATTCTACTTCCAGCAAGTTAAAGTAACAGTAATGTATACCTGTATCTGAGATACCATGTTTTATAACCTGGAAGACATTATTAATTCTCAGCAATAATGGTTGGATTCAAGAATGAATCACTGATCAAACTACTTTTCCTCAAGTTCAAAAGGGCATCTGGAGTGAAGAGAAATTTGTGCAGAAATCAAATTTGTCTAAGTGACAAACTTTAATTATTTTATCTGAAAATAGGAAAATATATTTTGGTATTCTAGAAAAAAAGCATGGATTCTTTTAATTTTGAGGAGTAAGCATTTTCAAAACTGCTTTGGAAATGGTGACTGACTCAAATGGAGGTATTGACTTTCAAATGGATTCAATAGCACATGCAGTGTAAATTAATGAATGTTTGTTAGTTTAAAAAGCGTGATTGTTCAAGTCACTTGAACAGTTGCTTTACTTAATTGTTCATGTAGATGCTTTTGTTATAATGCTTATCACAATCTCTAATTTCCCTTCTCGTTACCATTGAAACCGGTACACATCGTATCATGCTTGCTCCAGTAGGACTTAAAGTATGCAGCTGTGCATGCCTTTCAGTTATCTCATACCAAGTGCTAAGAGTTGTGAATATGAACTACGCAATGAATAGCTCATACCTCAGTCATGTCAGAAAATGCTTGAGACTGTTATGTTTGAAGCTTTCTTTGTAACTTTATTTTCTTGAAGCTGCCCAAGTCAGACAAAATCAAATTAAAAAGGACCTCTTGATGTCATCAGGAAAATTCAGCATATTTGTGATGTTCAGACTGTACATCTGCATCGCTGCCTAATTTACTGAGTAACCTCTGACACTTGTCTGTATTGCTACTTCAGCCTAAATGATTGAATGTTTCAGCCTAGTTAAATGATTTTGAGGTTGTCTTAATTCACTATTCTGTCAGTGTAGATCATGTAACTGCACCTAAAGGGTTAGCACACTTACAGTAGAATTTCAATTTAAACTTCTTCCTTGTGTGGATGCTAGTCTGAATCCTTTTCATTTACTCGTTCGTCTTTACTCTTTTTTACTCACTTTCTCCAGCCATAAGATTTGGAGTGCAATTGTGCATTCAAGTATGCATACCATATGTTTGTGTATACAGTGGTACTCAACTTGCTATAGTCTTGCTGGTATGAGTGATTGTCGTGACTCCCTTTATAGGGGCTCCCTGATTTACAAACGCAATTCCACATGGGTGTAATTTCAAAGGCCTGACACGTGCCTATTTCCTGGATTTAAGAATAACTGCTTTATATTATCCTGCATTGTGTTTCAACTTTCATACAGACTCTGGAACAAAACCCCTTTGCAACCCAGGGACTACCTGTACAACCAAAAGATTATTGGTTTCTGCCTTAAGTATACATCCAAGTGTTCACAGCTATTTGCAGTAGAGAACTCCACAAATCTGAGAGTACAGAAGATCCTTGTCATCTCAGTCCTAAATGGCTTATCCCTTAGCCTGACGTTATGACCATCCTAATTCTAGATTGTCCAACCAGGGAAAGGATCTGCCTGGTATTTACCCAATAAACTCCTTTAAAACTTGAAAGTTTTGATTAAATTGCACCTCCATTCTTCCAAACTAGAGGGAATATTACTATTGCCCATATTTTGCTTGAATGTAATTTGTAGCTATTTCTCTGTCACTCAGTATTTGCAAAATTTTAGAATAATTTCGTGGGATTCCCTGCTGCTTCCTCCCAGCCTGAAGTATGTATGGGTTTGAATGTATTCTGAAATGTGGAATGGATTTTTAAGACTCATGTCATGAAGAATCTGTTTGACAAATGTGTCAACAGGTTGGTTGAGCAGTCAACACTTAACAGTAGGTTGGATGGAGTGTTATGAATCTATCCCCTCTGCTTCATTTGCCTTCTATTAGAATTAGGTTTATTGTCACTTGTACTCTAGTACAACGTAAAGTGTACAAAGTCACCATTTTGGATGCCTCTTGGGTACAAAGAGGTATGTTCTTAGATATTATTTTCTTTTTATATCTCTAAGTTTAACTTGGCTGCCTCTTAATTCAAAAATTCTAATTTTTTTCAAGTATTTGAATTACAGCACTTCTTTCAATTGTTCTTGAACTGGTGTGTTCCAAATAAAGCACCTTCTATTTCAAGTGATGTGTACTTGTATTTTGACTCCAGTTCCACTCATTCATTTCTTTTTCCCTTTGGCTGTCCCAAAATGCTTGGGCATCAGGTGCTGAGCCTTCTAAAGCCTCAAGAATTTTTCAGCTCTATCTTTGGGGATTTATCACCATTAATGAAGTATATATCTTTTTCCATGGAGACAAAGCAGTATAAACATATCGGGCCCAGAGACCCTTCTTCAGAACTAATCGTAGCTGGGGAAAAAGTGGCGCCTGTGCTGAAGACCGGGTGGGACTGAGTAGTAAGTTAAAGGCGTGCAGGGATAGGTGGAGACAGTGCAAAGGGAGCAAAAGAGATGGATGATGGTAAGCCAGGGAAGGAGGAAAAGCTGATGATGGGAACCATTAGTAGCTGAAAGTGGCACGTATGATGACAAGCCTGAAGTGTGGGAGTAACTAAAGGACACAGGAGCTTTAAAATTTGTTTAACTTGATATTGAATCCTTAAGGCTGCAGTGTTCCCAAATGGAAGATGAGATGCTGTTCTTCTCGCTTGCTCTGAGCCTCGCTGGGGCACTTCAGTGGGCCCTAGACAGCAATGTTGGCCAGGGAGCATGGTGGTGTTGAAGTGGCAGTCAACAGGAAACTGTCATTTTTTTGATTTCATTTGATTTATTTATTGTAACATGTAACATGTACTTTGTTATAAAATACAGTGATAAGTGTTGTACAGTGTCATCACACTCCAGCGCCATTTTAAAACAGAGATAAACTAAAACCTAGATTATAAAGGCAGAAAAATAAATAAAGGAACTGTTCAACTTTACAGTCCTTCAGTGCTCTGCAACTTGTATAACAGCTTTAATTCTAGTTCTGGTATACCTTTTGTTTTGCGACAAAAGTCCCGTGACATCAGGTTGTAGCCCAGCTGGCTTATTTGAAATCACAAGCTTTTGTTTATTTGAATTTGCAAGCTTTTGGGATGCTGCCCCTTCGTCAGGTGACTTCACTGTCTGAAATCTCCTACTCTGTGCCTTCTGTGATTATCGGTGTATATAATTTAAGCTTCTTAATCATCCCTGATTTTTTTGATCAATCCATCACTGGTACCCATCCCTTCACATGCCTGGGTCCTAACCTTGCAAATTCCTTACTTGTATCTTTTTAAGCTGTATTTTGCTTTCCTCCTTTTTAAGACATCACTTAAATAGCTTGATCAAAGAGGTAGATTTTGTCACTTAATCACATAAGCAGATATTAAGTTCAGTGATGTGCATTTTGCTTCATAATGCTCATGTTAAATACCTTTCAATGTTAATATTAAGTGTTATGTAAATGTCTGGACATAAAACATCTGTTTAATTTTGTTTTATTTCTATTGAATAGGTTTTGCAGCAATTTTTGAAGATGATTTTGCCATTGGGGTTGTTGATTTTATCTGCATCACAGATTCATATAAGCTTTTATTTTGTTGCTTTTCTCCACCTGTGGCCTGTGGAAGGTGACATTATCGCAGTGAGTACAGCAAAAAAAAGTCAAGACTTTGATTGCAAATGCAAAATTTTTAATTTGCTTTGGAAGACAATGTTTATGTCAAAATACATTTGTGTAAAATTCTTCCAGTAGAACGGGGTCACAGGATGGATGAGTTCATAGATCATAGAAACCCTATGGTGTAGGAGCAGACAATTTGGGCCATCAAGTCCACACCAACTCTCTGAAGAACATCCTGCCCAGACCCTCCCTATCCCCGTAATTCCCAGAACTAACGTACAAACCAGTGACTCGATTAGCGCTGCTGCCTCACAGGGCCAGGGATCTGATTTCAATTCCCGCCGCGGGCAACTGTCTGGGTGGAGTTTGCACATTCTCCCCGTGTCTGCGTGTGTTTCCTCTGGATTCCTCCCACAGCCCAAAGTTGTGCAAGTTAGGTGGATTGGCCATAGGGGGTGCAGGTTTGCAGGGATAAGGTTAGGGGAGGGGGTTGTGTTTGGGTGGGATGCTTTTCAGAGAGTTGGTGTGGACTTGTTGGGCCTGTTATCCCCACTGTAGGGATTCTACAGATGAATATCCCAGGACGTTATGGGCAATTCAGCACGGCCAATCCACCTAACCTACATATCTTTGGACTGTGGGAGGAAACCAAACCCACGGAGAATGTGCAAACTCCACACATGCAATCACCCAAGGCTGGAATCGAACCTGGGTCCCTGATGCCGTGAGGCATCAGGGCTAACCACTGAGCCAGTAGCCTAGGGAAGTGAAATGTTGATCGCTTGTCTGTGTTGAGTTAGGTGGTTTCTCTGAACATCAATGATGAAAGTATTGTAAGCTATAGAGGGAATTTGATCCCATGTCTGCTTTATGGAGACGTTTAATTTTTAGTATAGAGATTTTCACTATGGGTCAGCAATTCTGTGCTCCTGGGTTCAATGAAGGCAACTTGTTAATTTAAATTAATGAGTAATTTTGTCAGATGGCACCAGAAAAAATTTTGATTATAGCACCGTACTTTTGCAAAAAGTCGACTTGCATATTTCAGCGAAATAAACCAGGTATGTCTTTGTGATCTAAATGTAACTGAGTGCTCTTGAGGCCCCATGCTATTTAGTTGTCTCGGTGCTCTGGGAGCAACTATGAATGAACAATAGATTTTTCCTTTTCATTTAAAAAAAACAAAGCACTAGAGAAGCACCAATCAGCAGCATATGTGAAGAGAAAGAGTTAGTGTTTTAAGTCCAATGTGAGACCCCTTCAGAATTTTGGAGACTTCCTTTTAGCTGTTGCCCAGATCACAAAAATTGTTTTTGAATTAATGTTGCAGTACGCTTCCTGGTTTAAGATTTGCCTCAGTTAAAATCTGCACAAAATTTTCTGTTTATGCTAAGTCTTTTGATCACTTTATGTTAATGACAATACAATATTTTTTTGAACAATAAAGGAATTAAGGGATACGGTGAGAACACGGGTAGGTGGATCTGAGTCCACGACAAGATCAGCCATGATCTTATTGAATGGCGGAGCAGGCTCAAAGGGCCGGATGGCCTACTCCTGCTCTTAGTTCTTATGTTCTTATGTACTACTGCAATATCTAATGGCCACCTGAAACTGTAATTCTTTAATGTTTTTCAGCACTCTGTTGATAACCAAACACAGAACTTTGATGATCTCCCATCAAGATTTGGTTACCGGCTTCCTAAAGATGGTTTAAAGGTAATTCATAAGCGAAGAGGGTGGCTTTTGTTGTGAATCAGCATAGATTTCTACAATAGTCTGTCATCCGTGTTCCTTTTCCCACTGTCCAGGCCTTAAGCTCAGCAAATCCTTACTCAAATCTTCCTGAATTTCTACCTCCCCTGCATCTTTTAAGGCATTCCTTAAAGCATACCTCTATTCCCAAGGTTTTGGTCACCTTTCCTGTTATGTTTGTCACATTTTGACTGATTCTTCTGTGAATTGCTTTGGAATGTTTTTCTGCATCGAAAATAGGTGGGACAAAATACCATAAGTTGCAGAATTGTCTCCCAGACCTTGGCCAGCCAGGACTGCACAGAGGTCTGTGGGGAAGTGCCTGTTGTCTAATTCAGAATTTCTTTTCTGGAGAAGAGTCCCGACCCGAAACGTCAGCTTTCCTGCTCCTCTGATGCTGCCTGGCCTGCTGTGTTCCTCTAGCTCCACACTGTGTTATCTCAGATTCTAGCATGGCAGTTCTCACTATCTCACATTAAATTATGTGCTGTCTAAGAAGTTCTGATCAGGTGGGAAATGATAAAATGGCTGTCTTATTCCTCTACTCCATTGATCACAACAGGACCTTTTTTTAGAATGAATACTTCTGTCAATTCAATGAGTGTTTAAACTCTTTTGTATCTAAAAGACATGCAAGTTACTTAAAACTCAATAACTTTCATTGTACTTGATCTAAATAAATATAATAACATGTCAGCTCATTCTCATTTGTGAGTGTCCACAGCACATACAGATTTCAAAGTGGGTGGATAGGCTAGCCAGTTGAAAAGTCCAAAAAAGCCTGTCAAATACAAATTTGTTATAGGAGTGTCTTGGATGGTTTCAAATTGCGCCTGGTACTCTCTGAATTGTGACAGGATGATTTAAAGATATTGATGAGCAATTTCTATTTGACCTGGAATCAGCAGGTTAATGTTTAGATGCTGCCTGTGGTATACAGCTGGTCAAATGTCTTGGGGCCTATTTGCTGTGTTGCTCATAAGGTTAGTCTTAGTGTGCTGATCTATCCATTAAAAGTAGGTTTGTGATGGAGAACCCACTGGCCAATTTCACAATTAGGACATCCAAGAAAGGAAGCACATTTAACTATTTGATTTTAATCTGAGTTTGAGCACAGGATCAAATTAAGACATGTACGGAAATTGTATGCATCTACAGATTCAGATACAGTGCTGTAGGTAGATCCTGCCATAAAGTACTGCATGTGGACTAAATTGGAGCAGTGGGAATTCCATCCCCCAGGGCAGAGTTCTGTGGTGGATACTGCTGGGATTGTTGGTTGGCCTGTGAAGAAGGCCTGATGGAAACTGGTGCTCGGGCGAATTGGTGGCAATGTGGAAGGAGAGTTTAATCCAATGCTATATCATTGTGTATGTGATTAAATTGCTTTCTATGAGTGGTGTTGTCCACAGTTAAGATGGCATTTTTCCTGTTAGAACATTCTTGAAAAAGGAGAAGCTCTGCATTTTTGACGGTTAGTGGCAATGCAAAAGAAACATGACCTGGTGAGTCAGTCAGACTGACCACAGCTGCCCTGTGGCAGTATAGACAAATTTATTTTCCCAGTTCTATAGTGACTAATAAATAATGGATCAAAAATATACTATGCTGTAAATTTGATTTTCATGAGAATGTTGTAACAAAATATTTCAAAGGTTTTAGTCTACAGTAAGTAACTAATAAAAGTTTAATTTAGTCATGCTGATTTGCATGTTTAATCAGTGTCTTGCAGCACAGATTGTGTCTTTTGAAGGGAGCTGCTTATCGGATAGCTTATTGGAAGAATAATGACAATTTTGTTTAAACAAAAAACTGTACATTACTCACGTAACTGGTCAATTGTAATAAGTAGTATGCTACACTTTGTATCCCAAATTGTTTTCATACTATTTTGCACCCATCTTCATATCTTGACAGTTGACGCTGGAGAAGTAGGCTATTCTTCTTGTGTCCTATCTGATGTGTAAGTCCAAATAATTGCTTGTGGACCTTAGTGTGCACAGGGCTGTTATTTCCCTACATTAAGCACTTTTGAGGTATGGTCTTTGTAATTGACTGTGAAGTGATTTGAGACACCAAACACCATTGAAGCTACAATATGGACTGCATGTTCATTCCTTCTTTGAATAACAAAAGTAGTCTTTTTATGTATCACTTGAATTTAGTAAAACATTCCAAGTTACCTCCACAGAGCAAATTTGACACTGAGCCACATAAGATATTTCAACGGAACCAAAAACATGGTTGAACAAGAGATAGTAAGAACTGCAGATGCTGGAGAATCTGAGATAACAAGGTGTAGAGCTGGATGAACACAGCAGGCCAAGCAGGAAGGCTGACGTTTCGGGCCTAGACCCTTTCTGAAGAAACGTCAGCCTTCCTGCTCCTCTGCTGTTTGGCCTGCTGTGTTCATCCAGCTCTACACCTTGTTATCACATAGTTGAACAAGTTGGTTTTGCGGAGTGAATTAAAAGATAGAACAGAACAGGGGAGGGAATTCATGCCTACAAAGCTTAACCACTCAATCACCAGTGGTCAAGGTCAGTGATGTGAAGGGGGTTGTAATTGCACAAGCTTGCACACCTGAGTTGTAAGTCTGAGAACTTTATTAATAGGAACAGCAGTAGACCATACAGCCCCTTGACCATGCTCCACTTCGTAAAAACTGAAAGAACTGTGGATGCTATAAATCTGGGGGAAAAAAAAAAAGTTGCTGGGAAAGCTCAGCAGGTCTGGCAGCATGTGTGAAAGAAAAAATAAAGTTAATGTTTTGGGTTGGGTCCAGTGACCGTTCCTCAGAACTGATGGTAGCCAGGAAAGCGTCAGTTTATATGCAGAAAATAGGGAGGGGATGGGGTAGGGAGTAAACAACAGGACAAAGGCCAAAGCCCAAAGAGGGAAAAGCAATGGGATAGACAAAGCAGTCATAGCCAGATAGTTGTTAATGGGGACTGTTAGTGACTAACAATAGGTAGTGTGTAATGGCAGGCTATGTGCTAAAGGAACAAAAATAGTTGCTGGAAAAGCTCAGCAGGTCTGGCAACGTCTGTGTTCTGAAGAAGGGTCACTACTGAACCCGAAACATTGACT